TGTGTTTATTTAACTGAATTTTTAACCCTCTTGCTCAATTTATCCTATGTCACTGAATAGACATTAAGTGCCGAACTATCTTTCTTACATTATGGGTAATTCTGTTAATTGTTCTTTTTACAGCCATATTTCTTTCATAGGATGACGTCATGATTTAAAAGTCCATTGATTGTTGATAAGTAAGTTTATGTGATAGTAAGCGGCAGTCTTTCCATCCAAGCTTCGTGGTCGTAGTGGATAAATTTGCCTTCGTATGTTGCCCAAAGCATTAGCGTAATGGTCATAGTTGGGTGGCGGTAGATTCACTTAAGTTTGCCAAATAAACATCCGCTTTCCTATATCTAGCGAATAGAGGTTAAGGTTTTGTTGACGTGGGTGCTAGAAATAGCTTAAAGTTCTGTTTAACTTTGCTGAAATGTGTGACCAGTTTCTTGTTAAATTGAAAAACGGCTATTTATTTCTTCAATCGAAACATTTGATCAGGTTTATAAGAACCGTTTTTAAATTAGGAGGATATTCGTCTTGAAGAATACTCGATCATTCGCAGCATCATTGAAGAAAATGCGGACATCAATTAAGTGTTAAATTCTGTGCTAAACATAAATATTACTTTCGTTTCAGGGGTGGATATGAAAAACCGTCTGTGAAAGATACATTGTTTGTTCAGATCCTGACATTCCCATATTACGCCTGCACGTACTGTTGGTGGTTATGCGTTTGGACCTACAGGTTTAAGCTCAAAGGCGAAGAATATGGTTTGGAAGACAAGTACTATTTAATAGGGAAAAATCTCGGAATGTCTGAAAAGCAGTTCAGCGTAAGCGACCTTCATTTCCTACAAAATACCTTTTAATCTATGCATCACCAGATGGAATAATCTGGGGTAGAAGTCAGTTTCTATTGTTTAACTACGGATACAGTGTATGGACAAAAATTTTAAAATCATATCTAAGTAAAAATTCATGGAATTTGTGATCATTCGCGTGGATAAATCTGCCAGGATGTTGATGTGCACCTTGAGTTTAGAGAATGAAGATATACAACTGGATACCGTTTGACTTATGTTTGCTAATGCGTGTTTAGAAGATAAATTATTAATTTAATTATTAATCTAGTGTCTCCTCAGCAAAAGATTCCTTAAGAACTGTAGGAAATATGTTTTGTCAGTGCCAGAAGTTGCACTTATAATATGCCCCAATTGCGCAGTTGTGGAACAGACAATAATTTGTAGTTGATGTCGTTTGACAGTATCACAGTTACAGTATGTGATTTTATGCTTTCTCTGTTTGGTTTCTGTGGTTCCACATTACTAATTTCTGTATTAATATAGTATTTGATAATTGCAATTATGCCTTTGTTCTTCTGTGTAGTGTGTCAATTGTTTGTTTATTTGTCAGATTGTAAAACTGATTCGCCTGTTTTGGTTTAGTGCTTAGAAGAGCACGAGAAGCAAGAGTTCCTTGACCAAGAGCTGTGGATTAAAGATAAGTTTTTGAAATGGAAGGCCATCAAGGATGAAATGGATAAGCAGAAGCTGTCCGAAAGCGCACAGTACAAACGTTACAGACGATACATGAAGACTCACGGCCAGGACCAAATAACGTTCGTCGAATGATTGACTATGTTCTGGCGATTTTATCTGCTCCTCCATATTTTTGCTTTCTTTGCTATGTGGCTACATGTTTCACTGTCGGTTCCACTGGCTTTAGAATTGGGTGCCAAGTTCCTAATTAAAAACGTTTTATCTTTCTGTAGACTTCTGTTGAAAAGCGAGGTTTCCCAACTTTTCCTCCCATTCTTTTTACATATAGTACTGTATTGTGCGAATACACCGTTTAGATATTGACGTTATATCGTCTGTGTCGTATGGTTGGTTGGTCATTAACATAGAAGTTGTTTTTCACTAACATTTCATACTCAGAGTTTGTAGCGAAACTATGAATACTATGCTTGTACTTTCATGAAACTCTCAGTTCAGAAAATAGAATTTTGTACGGAACTAAGGTAGATTCTCCGTTGATTCATGATTGAGTGTACCAATAAAACAGATATTACGTTTCAATACCGACGCATTTCATTACACATGCCTTCACTGCGCTACACATTGTCAGATCACAAGTAACGGTGGTTCATGTAAAACATCACGATTTAACGTCAACGTCAGATTAATAACGTGTTTTAGGCCAGCATGATCCATGAATATAAATTTAATTTCAGTCACTTATGGTCTCTGTTCAAGTCTTTTTCATCGAGTTTGTGTTAGCAATGAATTTACACATGTTACGATGTAGAGGATAGGAACAGTTAATGCGGTTTCGAGATTTTTGTACCCAAATGTGGAGGGATTCCCATATTCAGAGGTACTTGTACTGAATGCTGTTGGTGAATTATAGAAGTATCATCTGTCAGTAAGGACATGTAATCCAATATCAGAGTTGTAATCCAATCGGACCTTCCGCACTCTTATTTAGTAAACAACGCTTCTGCGTCTTAAAACCATTCCCAGTGTTGTTTCGGCCTTGTAGTAGACTTGTGTTGCCCAGATGAGATATTTTTTGATTCGCCCACATACTTAAGATTGAATGATAATTAGTTTGCTTTGACACGGCATCGTCAAACCGAATTTAGAGTACAGAAGTTTGATGTCAGATATCTTTCTTAAATACCTATTCGTTCGAAACACGTGTCGAGTTTCTCTGTCTATGGCGCAGGCAGTATTGCATGTTCCCTCCGAAAGCACAAACGCTTGTTCTTTGCGGTATTTTTTGAAAGAACGTCAAGATCACCAGACATCTACGACAGATATGGTTTAAACGAGGGGGTTTACGGAATATCTTTTCAGTGATGTCATGAATAAAACACGAGTGACAAAATATGGTTTTGATTAGCATTATTTGATGCTGTTATGTAAACTTTGTTATTTTCGTGACTTTAACGGAAATCAGTTTTTTCTTACGAGATTAAGTAGGTAAAAGTAAATCGCTCCTAAATCTATTTTGCAAAGTGTACGTTGCTTAAATCCATAAAAAGCAGACAAAGAAACAGGTGTTTGTCCTGTTAAAAGGCAAAGCACAGGTTTGATACTAGTTTTTCTTGATTTCTTTTGGGCAATCGGCTGTTTGTATTCTAAACTGCAATTTTTTTGACCTCTGCTTTTGATTGTTGCCCACCTGAAAGTAGTATTCCTAATATGCCATTGATTAGCCTTGGAAATTTCGGAATCGTGACAGTGAAATATTCATCAAGGCCTATTCCAACCTATTCCTCGCTCTGTTCTATAGTGGTGAAGTATTTCATTTGTTTGCTGTGAACTGGTACATGCAAAAGTGGAAGATATCAAGCAATAATTTTGCGACACTCGACCGCGGTTCCATAAACAATGGGTTTATTTCATTAGATACACCGTTTGTCGTTAAATATATACGGTAAACAGCGCTGACCTATTTTACGCTGCTCATTGCTCTTAAGTGCCAATGAGCCTCCAGGACTCCTTGTAGCTAGCCAGAAATGGGTGGCATGTCGCTGACCTGCGAATGATATGGTCAGCATGGTGTTTTGCTGCGCTCTTGTGAAAGCGTGCGAGCCATAAGACAATTTTGTTTGATGCGTGAACTTTACGGCCACACTTCGCTTTGACCCACCTGATGGATGACTAAAAGCCAGTCCAAGGAGCAAATGTTAAACAGATGGTTTCTTCCTGGTTGTCCGCTGTTTACGAATCAGCTGGATTGCCGACGGGTCGGACGTGCTGGCTAGCTCGTCGGGTAGTTTTCATCTGCCCAAATTTTCTATAGGTCAGAGGATCGTCATTTACGACGATTATAGGGGCCGTTAATTATGGAAATTCAGTATAACACCAGAGCTAGAAAATATCGCTGTTTAAGTTGCCATCTCGATTAGTAGCATTCTTCGAGCTCTCGTCTGGTATTCGTCTTCGTAGCTTTTGGTTGCGTCCGATGCTCGTTCAGTCGTGGGGCTTTACAAAACGAGAAACTGTCAACTCAGTTTATATTAACGAAATCTTCGTTATGATCTTCTTCGTTCCAGCTTGTGTATTAATTGTGTTTTAAAATTCGTTCGACGATAAATCGAAACTGGTAACTGAGCACGGAAAGGCAGGCATCTAACATCTACATGCCGGGAGGTGCGTTACGTGAGCTGTGTTACGACGTTGTTTCAGTGTTACTGTATATGCTAAACTATATCGGTTTTAGGTTTAGCGTTTGATTATTATTTGGTTTACATCTTGCACTGATTACCACATTGGATTGTCAGATGGGTGAACATTGATGGCAGCCTCAAGAGACGCGGATATCAGATGTCATGATCATACGTGTAGAATATTTCGGCATGACCAAACTATAACATCATGTTACCTGTGCTGCTTCCAAGTCAACCAGTTGCTATGCGCTTCTCATCTGAAGCAGCATGGTGGGAATTTCTTGCTCAATAAATTATCAGTTAAACGTTTTTAAGGATTCGAATCTGGCAACTTTTACTGACGTTCAGTGCCAAGCAGGTTCGTTGTAATTTTGACAGTTTCATGATTAAATCAGTTGGGGATTACAGTTCGTTAGTGCCTTCTCAGCTTATTTGCGTTTTATGCTGTACGGCTTGGATTCGTGGTACTGAATCGAACGAACTTAGGCGATAGTCCATAATTTAATTACTTGAAGCCGTAGAAAAGCAGCTTAATTTATAATTATTATTACAACGTGCAGGCCCTGTGGTTTTTGGGGCAGAGCTTTACTAAGCATTCGATCTCGTATTCTAGGCTAATGTCTGATTAGTCAGTAGTATACGAATGCATCTTTTTTATGATTCCGCTACTCCTTTTTGGCTGTAGATGCAGCAGCTTTCAGAGATTTTCCCCAAAGGGCAAAATTCATGTTTCTTTTTTCTAGTGCCCTCCGGCATTCAGCATAGCGAAGCTAAATGGTTCTCTGTGTGGCTTTGTTCGTGTTTTGGATGTAGCGAGTCCATAGTGTGAACTCATGTTCAGCTCGACACAGATCACTGAACGTCCAGACAAGGTATTTATGAATTAAATATGTTCAAATTTATGGAAAATGATTAAAACAATATTTTCGATCGAGTAGATTTAATCATGTTATTTTGCACCTTCTTGGTATTATCCATTTCCTGTCGTCTAGTTCAATAAACACTAAAGATTAAGACGAGATTTCGGTGTACCTTTTGAGGATTGATATGGGCTAAGAGGTCAAGGCTTATCGTCAAAGTGTAATCCTTCCAGACAAAAATGCCTTCTTGGTTTATTGATGCGTGTCTTCTATGGTCACCTCTTTTATTGACGGCAAATTTCTGAATGTCGAAGAGATGCTGAGCTTTTTCGTTTTCTAATCTAATCACTACATTTTTCGATTTTCATTCTTATTGTCATTATTACAGTGTATATCATAAAGTGGAAAGCTGTGTCTTCAGTGTTGTAGGTGACGAACTACATAATGATACGGTGTTTACCCGTAGGTGGTTTTCGGCAGTGGTCGGTTATCTGCATAAATCATGTCATATTTTACCCTATCACGTCATATCTTCCGATCTGTTTCTGATTGTATTTTACTTCGCTAGAATGTTTCGCATGACGTTGTCAGGTTGCAACATTTAGGACTTTAGGTATGTCTTGACGAGAGTGCTTGCTCTGGCAGTGGACTGAGGAGTACTTCCTTGCTTCTGTACTACTTTTCCTACTTAAATAGCGAAAGGTATGCAATTTTGGCATTATCTACTTAAATCGATGTTTGAAACACGTGTGAAAGCTCTGCGGCGCGCTACCGACATGAAGGTTTACCATTCTGCTGTTTTTGCAACTGGATGAGAAGTTGAACGACTTTCAGGGCCACCAGAATTTGCATCCTAAGAGCAAGAAAGAAACGTTTAGGTAAGGTTCTGTTTTTTTTCACGGTTATCCGTCGCCGTCTTGAATTCTGTTTCGGAAGTACAACTTTTCTTCATTAACGGTAGTTGAGATATGATATTTCAACTTTTATAACAGTTGTTCGTTTATGCCAAATGTTAATGATAGGAGTAGCTAACTTTTTCGTAGCACAGAAGCGGTTGTGCATTCTTGAATTTATTTATGAATATTCAGATATTTTTTTGCCTACTAATTCGGTGGTTTTCACTTCTACCGTGTTTCGAATTTTTACCCAGTTTTATCTCAACTAATCAAAAGTTATCGATATTTAAATATGCTGTTTTTCTGAGAACGACAACAAAATTCTGTTGATGTTCAAAGTTCAACTGCATATTGTTTGCT